CATTAAGCTGCTGTATCACTTCATGGTTTTAGTTTACATGATAGGCAGCTTGCAAATATATTTATAAATGGCTTTAAGTTTGCCGTCTGCAATGTCGTTAAACAAGTTATTGTTATACTTTAAATATTTTAGTTTAATAACAGTCTTTATTACTAAACCTTCGTAAATCAGTGATTCTTGAGAATAGGGACAAAACATGGATAAAGCACAAAATTTGAATAAAATATACACAAAATATATTTTTTCAAATATCTGACTAAACTAACCTGGGTCATGTGAGCACAACAATGTATTTTTCTTGTATTTGCTGAATATTTTTTATTTTAAACATTGTAGTCGGTGGATGATGCCTGTAAAATCCCTTGTCCAGGAGCAGAACTCAACACATTTTAGTATTTCTTTAAACAATTAAAGAAATACTAAAATTATATATTATGACAATTAAGTATAAGTAGTCATATAAATAATTATAAAAGCATCAATACATTGAATTAAAAATCATTTTTATATATTTTCCAACTCCACTGAAATTTGTCCCGAGTTTTTGTGACTCTCAGTGAAATTGTTGATAAATCTCACTTAAATGTGCAATTAATTCATTTTTAATGTATTTTACATAAATTGCATTATTTCACATGTACCAAGTTTTTCTTTTTACTCACTAGTTTGTCACCACCTTAAGTTCTCTGTCAACTCCGTCAGAAGGACTTTTTGTTGTTTTTTGTTTTAAATATTTTTTTTTGTTTGTTTCTTGAGAAACATTTGTCTGTAAAATGAGTACAAATATCACCAATAGGGTATTTTAAAAATAATTTTATATTTATTTTTGTCAGATGGTGATGACAAAGTTCTGGGTCAGGTCCATTAAAAATGTAATTTAAAAAAAATGTTGCTAAGGTACAGGCTCCCAGTTGCATCTTTACATTTCCAAAACATTATTTGTCATACTTGCATACATAAGGTTAAGAAATAATAACAATTTTTGGGGGAAAATTAAAACCCATTTTGTCCCTATTCTCAAGAATCACTGTAAATAGATATTGGTAGCGATACTATGTGAGATTGAAGCTGTGTAATATTAGTGTACATGAATCATATCCTATCATTTCAGGAGCGCAGTGACCTGCGCAGTTCGGTGGACACATTGTGGCTGCACTGCATTTAATAAACTGTCATATAACGTATTAATGCCCAAAACATTGTTGCAGTGATCTATATTTGTCTGTGTTTAATTTAATTCCAATAAAAAAACGTGTTTCCCCTGTCTGATACTGTTTTATTCTTACAAACACCTTTGTATTTAAAACATTTTAAACGGGTAGGATATTCAGATGAAGGAACTGATCTTGTGGTTTTGTCGTGTATATAAATTGTTCCAGTGCTAAGCTAAGCTTAACTCCTAAGCTTCCACTTTAGTCCCATCATTCAATGTCATCCAATGTATTTAATATTAACACAACCCGCTATAGTTTTTGGTTTGTAAACATGAAGGTAGCAGTTTGGACGCGTAGCACTGACAGATAGACTTAGCTATCTATCCATGCTACGGTAGGAAAATCTGACGAGGTAGCACTGATAGAACACCGGTCTAAGGCTGTATGGGGCCTTAAGCAGAATTTGACTTAGGAGCCCCTTTTGCTCCTAAAAAACATCAGCACCTCTAATAGCTTCTGTATTAGATTTAGTGAAATCTGGGAGAGGGAGAGTAGTTTAATTGGTCAGCCTACAAAGGGAAAAACTATAATTAATTAAAATTTACCAATTTGTATTTGTGAATAAAAAGATCTCAAACTCAAAGATTAAACTCATAGCATCAGAGTGTAGCTATGGTAAAAAAAAAAAAGATCAATGTTGTTCTTTGAACTTTTACTAAGTAAACTTGCCAGCTCCTTAAAATCTTAAGCTAAACAATTTAAAATATTTTAATTTATGTATGCTGAAACCATAAAATAAAATTTAGCAGCATTGCTAATAGTAATAAAAAATGTTACATTCATATATCTGTGGTCTGTGTTCAAATATTAACATTTATGGGCCTCTGAAGGCCTGGGGCTCCTTATGGAGCCGCTGACTTAATTTGGATTAAACAGAAGTGCAAATAACTGATATTCATTTTAATTGGATTTTTTTGTGCTGTGGTGGCGCAAGGGCAAAGCACCACCCATGTATTGAGGCCTTAGTCCTCGTGGCGGCGGTCACAGGTTCAATTCCCAGCCTGGTGTCATTTACCGCATTTCCTGTCGAACTACTTTCAAATAAAGGCCACTAGAGCCAACAAAACCTTAAAAACACATTTAATTGCATTTTTTGTTCTGTTGTTTTTAAGACTAGTTGTGGGTTTAGATAGCGTTTCACTGGCGATGTTTTCCCGTAACATAATTACTCAGTAATATTTTTATTTTTCCTGTCTACTCCACATATTTTAATACAAAAACACTTCCATTGGTGGACCGCCAATGGACCGCCTCAGTGCCCCGAACACCGGGCTTAGCAACTTTTCTGGGGGAAACCCTGCACATCTAATTATTTCTGCTCTTTTAACAGGTCAGACATTGTAGCAAACAGAGGACGGAATTATCCGTCATCATAACTCAAAATATTCACATATTTACTTCTGTAGGAGTACTTTGCAACAAAAGTTGATTTATTTTACACATGCAAAATAGGACCTTTTTAAGATGTTAACCCATGGCTTACTGAGATTCCTTGACATTGTATGGTTAATATAGAACCAGAGAATTTCATCAAGTTAATATTTATTATTCCAACAGGTACTTTAGTAATGTGTGTTGTAAAGTTGTCCTTTAGCTCTCAAGAAATGAGCAAATGGGGAGAAATATTTTTAAACCCTTTATTGAGAAGTATTCACAACAAATGTATTAGAAATTTTTGAATAAGCAAAATATGTATATGCAAACAGAAACCATTAAAAATTTTAAAAGCACTGCAGCTATATTTTGCTTGAAATAAATATCCAGTACTCTCCAAAGGAATCTAGAAATCTGTCCTGGATTGTCCAAACACACCAGTTTGGGATGACTGCTCTGTGATCAGGACCCAGAGTCCCATAATGCCAAGACATAAACTGTATCTATGCAGCATGTTCTTCACCTTCATCTGGAAATTCAACAGCAGCACACAGGTCATTCCAGATGTTCCTGGCCAGATGCAGGACTCATGCCTTAAGAGTGTAAGGCTCCATGTGTGGTAGGGCTGAAATGCAAAACGGTGGCAGTTGCTTGCAGCACTTCCTCTCCACCACAGAAGGCAACATCTCTCTGCACCTCTGGTAGATGCTCCAGGATTGTTGGCCGGAGACAGGAGGTGATGTTGGAGAAGCAGCACAATGGCTGAGTACATCAAGGCCCGGATCCCGATCCACACATTGCTCCAACACTTGCTGTGTCAGCTGTAAATAGGGCTGGGGGATATATCGAATATATTGAATTTACAGCCTGTAAATTCTATTGTTGAAGGTGCTCCTAGTGACAGATAAAAATAATTGCTGAAGCTCATTATAAGCAGCTAACATTATGTAAATAAAATAAAATGTAAATATAATTTATGATGTGCAAAGGGAAAACAATGAAACAGAGCTGTATTACATGTTTAAAAGCAGCAATTTCAGATCATAAATTCTCAACACGCCATATCCTCTACAGAGATGGTAACGAGTTGGACCGACTCCGCGACTTCTGACCTGCCCGCCTGATGCTCCATGGACACGGCGTCTTCTTCTTTCCACCCGTCACTGTTAATGTAAATCCTTTATCGGAGCCCATGGACTCCATGTCAAAACTCTAGCCGCATAGCATACAGATGACATGTCATATCGTGCAAAGCGAAAATTGTAAATTGCTAACTCACTGACTTATTACCTAGATAGCAACCTAACATTAAGTAATTACACACGTACCTGGTTTTATGTTAGCTTACTAGCCATTTATAATTGACAAAAAAAGTGCAACGTTAAAATATGAACTGACTATTTTTAAAGTGGAAAGCATACATTGATACCTACCGTTGCCATAGCTATTTATCCGCCGTCATGGAGCCTTGTTTACTACCCTGCACATGCGCTAGTCTTCTTTGTGCGGGAGGAGCTATGGAGGGAGGACTGCGTGACACAGCCGAGAACAAGGGGGCGGGATTGTTCAAATTTTCAGGCTAAGTCCACGGTTTCAAAACAGTTACACACTGCAGCTTTAAAACTCAGAGTAGGAGTAGAAAAATATAATCTGCAGAGAATGTGGAAGAGAGGAAATACAACCATTTTGTTTCACCACCTTAAAACAAAGCATGTGCTTGAATACCAGCAATGCAGCTAAGTACAAGTTTCAGTCACAACACTGGGAAGAAGATGTAGGATTTGACCCAGTTATCCACTACATTAAGTTTGTGTTTATATAGATAGATAGATAGATAGATAGATAGATAGATAGATAGATAGATAGATAGATATTATTTAACCTCTTGCCCATCATCACCAGGTCTCCCTTACATCAACAATTTTTTAAGGAAGACCTTGCAATGGTAGGTAGCAACATAAAACGAAACCATTACAGACATCATATATCCACGAAAACAAGTGTTAAATGAGTTTTTATACATGTATACATTCCACTCAATTAGTATGTGATTTTTTGTTTCTATTGTAAGTTTTCTACAAATTATATATTGATATATATATCGTTATATCCACCCATCACAATATGCATTGTGATATGAATTTAATGCCATATCGCACATCCCTACTGTCCACTTAGGTTTACATTGCGACTGTTCCTGAGTTTAAATCTGGTGAACCTAAATGTGAATGGGATTGTGTTGCTCATTTATCTGGTTATGCTCAAATGCGGTGTTTTCGAAGCGCACTGAATGCTATTCTGTAGAAAGAATAGTTTTTAAACATAATTTTAACGTGTGGCATTAAATATATATACGTCAAAAGGGGTTTAACAGCAAAGTTTTTGCGAAAGGGTTCGTTACACAGGTAGCATTTTTCAACAGGCATTAACGCAGCCACCTACAATTTAGAAACATCTGCGGTGCGCGTAGGCTTCAACCAGATAAACTCGCAACCAATTAAACCATAACACCGGTAGATTTTTAATACGGAAAAATAATGTACAGGCAGAAATGTGTAGCTGTGTGTTCTGTCCAAATAAATGTAAATTAGAAATTGGATAGGAACACAGACCGATTGTGCAAGATGAGGAAACGAACCGACTCCACAAGAGTTTATAAGAACAAGATCCAGCGGAGCTGTGGCTTCAGCTAACATATGCTAACGTTAGCGCTGACAAACTCAGCTTCTCTTCCATAAAAACACTGACCGAACAAACTAAGTATAAGAACACAATATCACTACAACAGGGGCTAAATAAATCCGCAAATATTCAGACGGGATATTTTAATGAGTTTATCAGCAGACGTTAGCTCAGCTAGCTGATGTGTGCGCAGAGTTAGGCCAAAAGATCGAATAAAGTAATCGGAAGCAGAGATCACCCGAAGGATCATTAACATCTTCTGATTTCTTCATCATTATATAAAACACGTCACTGAGCAAATGGTAATGTTAAATGTAGGTCAATACTTTGAATTTAGATAGAGCTTACCATGATTGCAGGACGTTTTTCAGTACAAGCAGAGACGGTGACCTGTCATGTGACTCGCAGTGACGTCTCTTCAGGGAAGGGTGCTTCTTCTTCTTCTTCTCCTTCTTCTTCTTCTTTTTCTATGGTGTTTTCTGGCAGTTTACAAACGTTATGCCTTACCGCCATCAACTGGACGGAGATGTAATTCAGAAATATATTTTCTTTCGATCTTCAAATCAAAAACATTCGCACACATACTAAATCCTTTCAGCTAATTTTGTAACTTTGAAATATTTAACAAATGCTAGAATTATATCCTGTGACTGATGTTCCCTTAATAAATTAACCGTTGTTACTGAAGTCCCCATTACCCTTCCTAGTCCCTTCCTCTCTTTTATATATTTTCTACAATAAATCAACACATGTTCTAGTCCTTCTGTTTCCCCACAATTAGAACAATCACCTGATAGATGTTTTCCTATTATTTTTAAACCACTACTTAAGCTAGTATGCCCAATCCTCAACCTGTTAATCCATATTTCCTCTCTTCTATTCATTATACAACTATTGTTTCTTATGATTACCTCCTTCTGTATTTTATGTAAATGCCTTCCTCTTTCTTCTAAATTCCATTTTTCCTGCCATATATTATTTATTTTATCTTTAAAACCTGTTATTCACGAGAGGACCCAAATTTGGGTCCTCT